AAAAAGTCTTTATTCGCACGTTTCATTATCGAATCGAACGCCGACGCCAAAATCACGGCAAACGATCGAATAAACCCGTATCATCGATAAAAGCGAACTTGTAAAACTGTAATTACGACGAAACGAGGCTCGCAAAGGCATTCGATTCCATTGTGATTTACGGAAAACGTACGACGTAAGATTTACGAGAGCGTGCATCGCGCTCGCGTGTTACGAACGTCTCGAGTTTACGGGTCGACAAACTTTTCCACGGTGCGCCCTTTAAAGAGTGTCGGCCAGGTTTGGAACCACGCCATAAATAATTCGCATCGTCATCGTCATCGTCGCTGGTCTCTTTGAACGCGCCACCGACTATCTCGTTTGTTACTAAAAACAATGGCTCGCTACTTAATCGATCCGACGAATTCTGTTAGATAGTTGTTTTGTGTAAAACCGAGAAAAATAAACGAACGAGGAAGAAGAAGTAGGAGAAGAACGGCCCTGAAAATGATAATAGCCGAACGAATAAAAACGGAACGCGTAATAAGAGTCCGCTCGGTCTTTCGTGATATACGGAAAGATATTTAGTTAAGCGTTCCGGAAAGTGTTCGCAATTAAGGTTCTTCGTTACCGTCGCGGAGGTAAGTATTAATTATAGAAATGAACGGTCATCGGCGTGCCGACGTCGGCGTCGCTGGTAACTTTTTTCAAAAGAGAACGAAGTATGCGCGAGGCGTCCAATTTTATGAATTATCTCGAGTCTAAATGCGCAAGCCGATGAAAGTGGAACAGGATTAATATCCGACGTAAAGAAAACGTATCGTAGAATATACCGAGTACCCGAAACGATGGAATTCACCGGGTTTAGATTAATACGTTCACGCCGGTGTGTACCACCGGTGGCTCACGCTTATACGTCCCATCGGGCGGCGCGTACCACTGGTGGCTCACGCTCGCGTGTCCATCAGATGGCGTGCGATACCGCGCCGCCCTATGGCGAAAATCTTGAATACGACTACTATTTCATGTTTGATTATCGTTCTTCGATAATTCCGGAAAATCGAACGCGTAAAAATATCTCGAATCTTCTCAAATTTACGATTAAAGTTGGAAAATAATCAAAAGATTACCTTGTTCGAATCGCGAGAACGAAACCTTTCGTTTGATCATTTCTTCCTCCAAAGCCAAAGTACCTAGTCAGCTTTCAATTTTCCAAAAGACCTCCAGCCCTCGGCACTGGATGGCAGCACACCCTCTGAAGAAGATTCTCGAGATTAGATTAGCTGGAAACCGACGCGTGTGTTCGTTCGAGACTGAAACGGTAAAGCAGGAATGCGCGATGCAACTTCGTTCAAATTTAAATTTGGACAAAGTGGTGGTACTTCAGTTATCGTTTCAGTTACGAATCGATCAGTCACCGGTTGAACAGTTAGAAATTATAAAAAAGTTTTTTTCTAAAAAAAAAATGATTGACGGCTATTTTTGCAGACCGACTTTTCCGCGAGTCTCTTACACAATTTTATTTTGAACGTTCCCGAGCTGTCCAATTGAAAATTGACGTCCCCGACCTCGAAACGCTAAATACTTGCTCTAAAAGTGATCACGGTACCGTGTGTTTGTTGTCTTTTAATTTAGCGGAACGTAAAATTGATTCTCGCCAATCTCGCCTGTGCTGTTTACGATTAACCTTCCGCGGTTTCACGGTTCAACGCAAATTCGCCGTAATTAATTACGATAATATTATCGATAGATCTCGGGCTTTCGCGACTTTGTAAATATCGTTATCGTTGGCTCTCAAACCAGCCACGACTGAGTCGGAGACAGGTTAGATTTGTCCGACTGTGGAAGACAAAAGATCGCCTTTACCTTATTCCTCGATTCTCCCCAACAGCCCATCACTTTCTTTCTCTCTCTTCTTTTCATCCTCCTCGTAGAGAAGGATTCAACCTTCTCTCTCGGCCACCCTCTTTTATTTCAGCATTCGCGAATACTACCTCTTCCACTCTGTCTGTCGGTGCATCGAACCTCGGATGTCTGTTTCAAGCGACGATTCTATTTACGGAACCGCGTTAACTACTACACCTTTCACCTGTTCTACCGTTCCCCCTTTTCCGTTTTTCTTATCCCGTTTAATGCACTTCTATAGGAAATTACAAGTGAAAATATTTTCTTGCCACGGCTACACTTCCACCCTCGTCTTTTTCTACCTCTGTTGTCTCGGCTCGTTTTTCCTATTCGCGGAGCGTAAATTGTTACCGAGCTCGTTAACTTCGCGCGAGATATTTATCGATAGACCTCGTCTCGCGATAATGGAATCCCCATTGTCTGCTTAGGAGCACACCACGCCCGCCACGGCCGATTGGTTCTCATCGACACCGTTTCTTTCGACCGATAAAGCTGCCAGTTTTCACGTAGCTCAATTTCTACGCTCTTCTCTGGCGAGCTGTAACTTCCTTTCCGAACAACTGCCACTCGAGATGTTCTCAACGGTGCGTCGTGTTTTCTTTGAAACCGAGAATCCTCCTCGATCCAAAAGACAGATAATCAAAGCCTGCAGAAAATTCTAAACATTACGAAACGCGCGACAATCGTTCATCGTCGTGTGACGTACACATAAATTCCGTAATAATCGTGCCGATAACTCATCGACGGCGATCGGTAACGATTAACCGAAAAGAGCGACGCATGGTGTACGCTTTCGAACGATTACTGTAATTGACGACGCTGGTTTTGTCGTTCGTCCGAGAATGCAACGAAGAAAAGGCATACAACACGGAAATCGAATACGTTGACACGTTGATGCCGGCGGCGTTTTTCAGTGGTGCGCCGTAAGGCGGCGCTCGATTTCGCTGTGGTGGGGCGGCACGGCATCGGGTTGCATTGTTTGGCACAATGCATGAACCACCGGCGATGCACGCCGCCCCACGTAACAGACGCGAGTGACTCACGTGTTAACTCGATCGATCTTTTCGGAAGTCTCAGTTATCATGCGACGGGGTTATTAATGTAGCAACACTCAGTAGCGTGACAAGGAATCTGAATATGTATCCTTAACAATGTAAATAAAGACGCAAATACGCAAAAAAATATCACGCGACGACATCTAGCGGTAGCTTCTCGAGACACATCCGTTTTCGGAGCGTCCTACAACTGGGAACAACATTCTTCAAATTGTAAGCATTAATTTTGCTTTAGAGGATAATATTATAGAAGGCTTATTTAACAAACTCTGTAAGCATCATTTGTGTTTGTTTCTTTCCGTAGGCCTGGAGGAGAACTAAATGCAGGAGAAGACGAGGTAGAGGGCCTAAAACGGCTCCTTACAGAGGTAACAGTTAGCACGACGTCTTATGCTACATTACGAGGTAGCTAGGAGTGGCACTTTGATATGTTAGATTGTAACACTGTTTATGAACCTATTGTACCAATCCTAAGCGTCGAGAGAAAAGAAAAGAGAGCTTGAACAATTTGCGAAAACATTGTATTCGATAGATACATAAAATATAGAGAAACATCCTAGCTCTCGTTAATTCCGTACGCTATGTATCAATAATAAAGGTGAAATGACATTATCAACCGAGAGACGCGTTCTCTTTTCCCAAACCATTTTCTTTCCCGTAAACGTACTCATTTCCTCTTTCAGCTCGTATCCTAGCAGCCACCGACGCGACGCACGCCTCGTCTCGGCGCTATCCAAGCCTTTCGGACAACTTGGTGTGAGATTATTAATGTCCTCGGGGTCTACTTGCCGGCATACTCGAAGAAGCCTGTGCTCGTACCTCGGAATGGTTCCTAGTTCGAGTGCCGTCGGGTAAAAAAAAAAAGAAAGAGACCTACAGCCAAGATGGATGAGACAAGATAAGGATGGCTAGGTCCAAGAGTTCGCAACCGAATGGAAAGAGGGAAGAGAAAAAGGAGAATAGTCGAACCATCGCGACGACGTCGTAAGACAAACGATCTATTTTACTAACCTTCGAGATCGCAAAAGTGTTCGCGTTTACAGCGTACGCTACGATTGATGATTTAATTAGAAATACGTCGACTCGTTAAATTAACGGCGAAGCGTTCGCAACCGTAAGCGACAACGCGTCTCGGATAGCTGACCGAAATAAAATAAAGTCGCGCCATTTCGAAATGGCCGATTTTTGGTATGACAGTTCGTATACTTTCGTAAAAAAAAAAAAAGTTCATTTTCCTTCGAAAATGACGTAAGTAAAATCGTCACTGGCTTTCCTATTAAACGCCTCGTTCTAATTGACTGTCGCGCGGCGACAAAATCGCACGTAGCTGAACCGCGGCAAGAGTGGGGATATGGTATAAGCTCTATTCGCGCTAACTTCTCGAGACGCTTTCGTCGATTAGATTCAGGAACGGCGTGATCTTTTGCGGGGCCCGGATTCACATTCAAATCCTACACTTAAATTTTACAACGCGGAATTATTTATTTACAAATGCTGTTACATATCTTTTATCAGATGAATATTAAATAATAATACTTCGACGATTTTTGTCACTCCTTTAACCCGAATCATCGCTAATAAAAAGATGTCTTGCATCTGTTAATGGTATCATCATTCCGTAAAAAGTTGATCAAACTTTTCGTAGACCGCGGGCCCCTTGAAAACGCGGGGCCCGGTTCCGGCGAACGCGCTGAACCTGCCTTGCGCCGGGCCTGATTAGATTTAATGCCAATCAAATGTCAATTAAGTCAATTAGGACACAGGGTAACACGACATACGACCGCGACGCGCTCAGACCTTTCGAAATACAACACAAGCTTACAAGAAAACGCGTTTATTTTTTCGTATAAAATGACAATGAATTCTGATCGGTTCCCTTAATCCGTCGCGATCCCCGGTTATGGTGTGACAATTTTCGATGATCGCGCCAGAAACGGGATCATTTTCTCGAGGTAACGCGACAGAAGCGGGGAATAAAATATCCCATAAATCTGCCGCGTGATAATACAAGAAGACTTTGCTAGCTGCGGACGGAAACGTGAGAGAAATAAAGAGAAGCCATCGATTGATACAATTTATATGGTTGAGTCGAAACTGTCGATCTGTATTCGATAACCTTCGAGTATACAGCGGATCGTATAACAGAATTGTCACAAAATGATATAATTATTAATTAAATCGTTTCGAGATAATCACGTTCAAAAATATTGTCGGAAAGCTTCGTTAAAGTGCGGTCTCACTGTTCTCGCGCACGTCCATAATAAATCGATACGTATATCTACACATACGTCCGTAATACTCGTGAACTTTTGATTTCGAAAAGTACGGTATGCACGCACGAGATTCATTTGGTCCGAGATGAAAACAGCGTGGACGGAGAGAGAACAGGACGATAACAAAAGCATATCATGGGCCACCAATAATATTACACTGCGTCGCATCGCGTCGCGTCGCGTGTCACGTTATCGAAACACGTAGGTAGATACGTACATATATGTTATCGTAATAATGTCAGCCCGGTTAGAATGCTTTGTCGAATGTTGCATAGGTATCCGATAGTGTACACCGCAATATTGATATCGCATCATTTCGTAACAGGGAGACCCGTTCAAAGGCTGGCTGGGATTTGTAATTTATAAAACGATATAGCAATCGTGCTTGCTACCTTCGCTAATCGAAAATCAATTCGCGTTAGCTTAACAGGCCCCGATAACGCAACGATCAACCAGCCTGACAAGTTCTGTCTCCTTAGACCGAACGCACACGAGCGCTACCGATTTGAAATTAGCGTTGCAAACCGTTTGCGCTCTTTGTTTTACCTAAATCCACCACGGTCGCATGCAGCTAGTTTCAGAGTGGTTTGAAACTGATCAGTTGCGCCCGTGTGCGATATCGGCCTCACCCTATTTCGTAATTGACTGTCGCGCGACAAAATCAGTCGTAGTTGAGCAAGAGTGGGGAGTGTAGGTTCTATTCGCGCTAACTTCTCGAGACGCTTTCGTCGATTAGATTTAATGGCGTCCGTCAATCGGTCGTACAATGATAGAAGGGAAAAAAGGAAGACGATTTTCTATCCTATCTAATCGACAAAAGCGTCTCGAGAAGTTAGCGCGAATAGAACCTACACCTTGCCCCCACTCTTCCCGCGGCTCGGCTACGACTAATTTTGTCGCGCGACAGTCAATTTGGACACGGCCAATTAGACATTTTTCACGGAACAGTTTCAACACCCGACAGTCTTGGAAACTCGTGAACACTTTCGAAAAGTGAAAATAATAGGACTTCTATTATCGTTGTTATTGTAAAGTTTACGAGAATAAGATATTTCGTTTAATTGCTTACAACTTTCATTTCTCAACTGTTCCTTGATTTTGTTCTCAGATGTACCACTTCGTCTAAGAGGACATGCTTGTTATCACTCGTCATAGGTAAATGATTCATTCTCGGAACTAATCCAACTCGAATTGACTGCTCATAGACAACGACGAACGTGATGGAATGGCAAGTTTACACAGTTCGAATGTACGCCAGAGTTATAACATCGATACATGTCTGACGGTAATTGTTACCGTTTTAAGGTTATAGCGCCACGGTCCAGCAACTCTTTTACGTAATTCCACACACTTGGTCTCTACTTCTTGCCGATAAAATTATTTAAAACTCGCTACTTGGAATCATCGAGATTCTACATATGTACAGTACGCGATCAGTTGCTACTAAATAAAGAATCCCCACAAATTACACTTCACGTTTATTTTTGTATTGCAATTAATATTATCAAAATAAGTGATCATAGAAAAATTACATCCGACTACTGTCTCGATGTGTTCAATTTTGCAGAGATGCAACTCTCCTCCGAACAGCTGTACCATAGGATTGCACTACAGAACTGTTATTCGTAATGGTTTTGGTACCATCTCCATCACGATACACACATTTAATGCCACATTTAATGCCACATTAAATACCACAGATTTCTACCCATGACATCAGCGTTCGACGACGCTCATGTATCGTCGAAAATATTCGGTTAAAATCTAATTAGAATCTTTAATAATGCTCCGTGTTCACGGAAAATTCATTCGCTTGTTTTGGTAGTATTTTCGAATCAATATCAAAACAATAAGGGAACGCAACGCAATGCGACAATGAAATTTCGATCGACGAAACAAAAAGTTTACAGAATCTGCGGTCGCGAGTACAGACTCTTCGTCGACTTTCAATTATCGAGTATACACCTTAATCGTGATAATAAAATACTACCAAAACAAGGGGAAATGAAATTTCAACGACCGCAATTTATTCTACGATACCAAGTCGCTGGCACGTTAATAGCCGTGCCAACAGAAATGTTTCCAAGCCTATAAATAAGTAAAATCTATCGTAACTTTAATAATATTTAAAGGGTAAAAAACAGTACAAAGGAAAACGCCACCTTCGATAATGCAATCCTAGTCGAATAGCGATACTTGGATCAACGGTAATCGACATTAAATGTATCAATCGAATTCGATGATTAACAAGATCGATTCTAGTAATTACGGAGTAAGAAATGTAATTAAAGCTCGATTTGGAAACGTGGCAATCGTTCTCGACAGACACCACTTCGAATTATACAAATTTTCTTGATCAATTTTCTCCCGACACTGCGCGTAACACGGAGCAACGACTATCCAGTCGCAACAGGTAATTTCTGATACTTTAGCCGCTTGAAGCGTTTGACACCGGAGTATTGCCGTAAAGCGTCCCACAGACTGCCGTTTAATTAAATTTCGCGAACGACTTCACTTTCAGTTTCGAAAGATTCCCGGTTACCGCGGCTGCATTCGCTACGGGCGAACTTCCGATATGTTTGATCGTGGATCTTAAGTAACAGTCGCGAGACACCTGGATGTAGGAATTATCTTTATCGGACACTGGAATCTTTGGATGGCATTTTCCATTGCGCGCCTTCTTTTCGAAAATGATTTCTACCACGTCGGAATCGTCTACGTCTACGTTAAAGTCTTTTGGCATTTCGTGACCAGTCGAGGAAAGGGTTGCTTGTACTTTGCGGGCGCGTTCCATAAACACCCGTTCTTCGGCGAAAGTCGAGTCGCAATGGGTAAACTTAAAATGTAATTTGAATCTATTCGACGCCGTGAATGTTAAACTACATATAGGACAGGTATAAAGATTCTTTGAGTCGGTCGCGTCCCCTCGAGAGATACATTCTTCATCGGCAGCATTGACTACCGTCGAAGACGATACTTCCTGTTCGCCGTTCGATTCGTTCACGGGATTCGCTGCAACCGGTTGTTCGACGGCTCCGTCGACAACTTCCAGCGGGGCATTTTCGGAACAGCGGTCGTCTTCGATATCGTCGAGTAGGTCGTGGTCGAGGTCGTTCATTATAGCGTTCAAGTCCAGGTTGGTATCAGCGAACGGTAGATCCTTTTTGTTCTTACCGTTCAACTTATCCCCGTGTAGATGCACGATATGCGAATACTGGGACGCCAGATGTCGAAACTTTTCGTCGCAATAGAGGCATTCGTGCTTCAAGTAGCGGGCTTGATCCTCGACGTTGGCGCTGTGTTTATTTACATGCGCTCTGAGCAGCTTCAGCCTAGGAAATTTACGACCGCAATACTCGCATATGTAGTTGCCGGTATCGAGGAACTGCAACCTATGTTTCCGTAAATTAATTTCGGTGTCGAACGTTATATAGCACTCCGGACATCTCAAGAGACGTTGCTGCGGTTGATCGGTAGAAGAGGAAATAGAACCGTTTAACGAACTGGCAGGTCCAGTTTCGACGTTTACAACCACGTTCGTCGTCGTATCGCTGTTCGTTCGAGTGCCGATCGGTCGTTCGGTAGGCACGGCTGAAAACGTTTCGTACCCGTGCAAGTGTAATATGTGCATCCGAACATTCGCAGCGCTAGTAAATTCCTCGTGGCATATAGGACAGTGATGCTCGGACAACACAGCGTTCATTCTCGCGTGTTTCATTCGGTGCTTCTCCAAACGATGCAAGTCCCCGAACTTTCTACGACAAACGTCGCACGAATACCCACCGATGTCGGAGTATTCCAACAAGTGATCCTTTAGCTCGGTCTCTTTGTCGAACCTCGTGCCGCAAGTCACGCACGTGAAGCGATCCCTCGCGTCGTGAGAATCGTCGTGAACCTTGCCGACGGACAGCTGGCTCCCGTTCTTCGAAGAGGAACTCCGCGAAGCGCAGCCGGTCGCGTGAAAGTGTCTCTCGTGGCACACGATCGATTTGCTCGTCGTCAACACCTCCCCGCAGAACCGGCACCTGTAACACTTGCTCGCCTCGCAATCGCTGTGGTTCAAACTTTGATGCTTGCTAAGAATGGCGTAGCTGCTGCACTTCCTCTCGCACTTGCTACACTGGAAGTCACCGTCGAGAGAGTATTCCATCTCGTGCGTCCGTAGATCGGTCTCGTTGGTGAAGCTCAAGGTGCACACGTCGCAAGTGTACGGCATCAGCGGTATCTTCATCTGCTTGTCGTGATTGTTCAATTTCAACGCGTAATTGTGGTCCTGTATCGTTAGTTGGTCGCCGGTGTCAGCGGGCGCATCCCTCAAATGCACGTGGAACTTGTGCGCGTGGAAATGCGATTCTTGGGAGAATCCCTCGTTGCATACGTCGCACATGTAAGCGTACGAGGTACGTGTCGCCTCCGTGTAATGTATCAACTTGCTGTGATGGTGAAGCATGTACAGCCCGTCGAACGTCTGACTGCAAAACATACACGTGAATACTTGCCCCTTGTAATAGTACATGTTGTGCTCGACGAAACGCTCGTAAGACTCGAACACCAAGTTACAGACGGAGCACACCGTGTTCACGCTCAGGTTACTTTCGTTGCTCTGACACGGTCTCGACGTCGTGACGGCTTGCTCGCTGCTGTGAAAGTGACGCTCGTGAACGTGGAGGTTTGGTTTTTTAATGAAACCCTGGTTGCAATACTTGCAAAAATACTTGTAGGTTTGCGATGACGTGGCCGCGTGAGTGTCGATCACGTGACGTTGCAAGAGTCTCTTTGTAGTGAACGCGGTACCGCAGACCGTGCAAGGACTGTCGGCGGGCTTGCAGTATGTACGCTCGTGTAAACACAAGTTCTGGAACGTTTGAAATTGTCGATTGCAAATGACGCAGGGAAATTTCGTTTTGTCCAATCCGCTCACGTCGATTTGGTAACCTTTCACGCATACGATGCTATTGATCAGCCTTTTGCGATTTACTGTCGGCGATTGCGACTGCGACCGATCCGGATGCGGTAACGCGGACACAAAACGAGTACCAGAAGAAGTATTAAACGACGCGTTGCCCGAATATTCCGTCAAAGAATTATTCGCCCCGCTGTCGCTGGTAATCGCGACAGCCGTCGTTTCCTCGTTTCCCAAACGAGAATTAATACTGTTCCCGCAAGAGGCTTCCTCTTTCTTCCTCGTGTTTTTATTCGCGTTCATCCGGGAGCACACCCTGCGATGCTGATCCAAACACGACTTCCACCAATATCGTTTACCGCAACCTCTGCACTGATACAATTTCCTAACCGCGTTGCACCTCGCCTCGCGATTTATCGGCAGACGGTCGTGTCTCGATCGTATACTTTTTATGCAGTGCAAGACCATGTGTCGCTTCAGCGTCACGCGTGTCTTCAGCTTCTCGTGACAAACGTGACATTTCTTACTCGCGAAATTCGTGTGCCGAATTAAATAGTGATGCCACAACTTGAATTTGGACGTGTAACGGGCGTTACATATACTCGAAATGTAAATCGTGTGCTGTAGTTTCATGTGGTCGCTCATGTTCTTCTTGGAAGAAAATGACATTTTACAAATTCTACACCGATTCGCTACGTTATTAACTTTAACGTTATCCGTCGTTACGCGTTTACGTCTCCTCTTTCTCCTTCGCTCTTTGTCTTCGTTCGTTTTGACGTTGACAACCTTATTCACTCTCACCAGCGGGACATCCAACGCTTTCAACGTCGGATAATTTCTACTCGTTAACCGATCTTCGTTCGAGTTCTCTTTCGTTTTTATCGAGGCGATTCTTTCCAGCATACTACGTTCCGATTCGTTGAATAAATGTTCGCCTTTCAGAATCCATTCGCACCTCTCCAACGGAATCACGCACTCTTTACATTTATATTCCGCTTTCAGCTTTCGTTCCCACAATATCTGCGCACTTTCCCGTTTTTTTCTCCGTGTGACAATAATCGAGCCTCTTTCACCGACTGGTTCAAGAGGCATTTCATTGTACAATTTAACCGACGACTGGATACCATCGCCGCTTACCATTTGCTTGAGCCTGCGCGACGCGTTCTGCGAAGGGGTAGAAACGTAGGGATCTTCCGGCTCAATTTTTATTTTATCGAACGGTATTATATCGATAAAGGAATCAGTTTCTATACGAGCAAGGCAGCCCGAGTTTTTGTTTCCCATCGGTGTGTCTATTACCCCTTTTTGAGATAACAGATTTATACCTTCTGTCACATTTCCTGTAGGAATAACAACAGTCTTCTCCGCGGAACCAACTTTTTCTGGGGTAACGCATTCTTTCTTAGTTAAGAATGGAAGAAATTCCGTGAGAGTCGTCTGCCTCAATTTTTTTCTCGGTGAGCCATTCGAACTGTTCAACGTGTCTCTCGTGGGACTGTTCGCTACGTGATCCTCGACGTTTCCTTTCGATACGTCTTCGACAACTCGAACGGCGTCACCGTTAGTTACATGATGGCCGGCATCTTCTATTGTTCCATTGTCGACGTTTTCAACGACCTCGTCCACCGAAGGGAGAATGTGGTTTCCGTGTATGTGAAACAAATGCGACTGTAAAGGTTTCCTATACGAGAATCTTCGGTCGCAGAAGTTACAAATAAAATATTTTCTACCGCGAACTTGTGGACGTTGCGGTGGTAAACACTTGTGCCGCAATAACGATGATTCCAACGAGAATACCGCGTTGCATTTATCACAGGCACACCTATAACCTCTTCCGTTCACTAGCTTATGACTCTTCAGCTCACTCTCATTGGTAAATAGTACCAAGCACACGTCGCATTCCGCTGAGTACTTTGGTTTCCTCTTGCGTGCACGATACTGATCCCCGCGTCCGCGTCCCCGCGAATACTTTCGACGTTTATTTGCAGTTCGAAGCCCTTGCTCTCCTAAATTCTCCGACGCCAGAGAACATTTACGTTTTCTTTCGTTAACGTTCGATACTTTGTTTTTCGAGTCCCCATATCTCTTATACGATACACGCTCGTTCTCCTTATTATTCGTCGAAAGTAAATATCGATCTTCTATTACTCTCGATTTACTTCGGGTCGCCGGGGACGATCTGTCGACTGCCAACGAAGCGTCGCAATCGTTGGTGTCCGGCTGATCCCGTATCTCATCTTTGATCTTTATTCCGTTTACAGACTGCTGAAAAAATATACAAAATTAATTAAGGCTTGCACATATTTCACGAGAAATCGTTCATTAGGTTAGAAATCAAGGTTCAGTAGGTTAGAAATCATACTTCCCAGGAAGGATCACGTGACATTTCGTTACATGGATTGAACGAGTTAATTGTACCCGAAAAATATAGGGAATGCAAAGGATTCGGGATTAAACGTGACGCCGTCACGCCGTACACACACACACACAAACACAGACACAAACGTACACAGGTTCCCTTCTCCGTTTACACTCTCCAGCTCTGAGAACAAGGATGTAGATAACAGGATGCAGCGAACGTTCGTTGGAATTCGTACGTGTAACATTGTTCACAGGAAACGTCGTAAAATGTCGAAAAATCATACAAATAATTTTTTTTGCTTGTTACTCTTCTCGACTAACAACAAACATAAATTCGTACAAACAGAATTTGTAATATACAATATGTAACTCTATGTGAAACAATAAAAAATAAATATACCTTATAGTAACGTAAAGCTATTATAAAGTAATATTGATATTGTTCTATGTGTAGTTTCAAATGTAATTGCATTTTAGAATTAAAAAACTAAAGTATGCTCAAACTGAGTTCTATTCTTATCTATCAATCCAGAGGTATTCGACACCAGTGGGATCTATATGTTGCAGTGAATATTTCTGGATGCCTTTGGCTAAATTTACGTATGTGAACAAAAATGGACATCCTCCACGATGGAGCAAATTATCCTTCTCTACCTGGCTATTGTATTTGTATTCTCTAAAGGAGAAACGAATAATTGGCTCCAAGGAGTTAAAAGGACTAAATAGAAAAGCCATAGATGTCTTATTATTTGGTTTCGATTGTGGTATCAGGATATGCTTTGGAACACTGGAGTAGATATGCATGGAAATATTACGTAACATATATGGAAACTAATATCATCGCTAAATGCAGCTGGATTCTTTTACTAATTCATGTTTTAAATGGTACTTACATTTAGTTTATCGTAGAATGTAACATCTGCCAGAACAGCGTTGACAGCACGTTCATATATGCAGACTCGAGCCATATTCGCTTTGAGAAATTACATTCCCCTGTAGGTGAACCATGTGTGTACGGATCGGTGCAGATGAGAGAGTGCATACGTGTGCTTGTCCGAGCAATACAAACTTAGAATAAAATAACGTTAACTTTTAATCATCTTTCTTTTGAACTACTTATTTTTCACTCAATTGTATTCATTGCATTGCTGAGCAAACCGAAACAAACATCTATTTGTTACTTTCGATTAAGAAACAAAAAAGAAGAAAAGTACCGTTCTTAATGTTACTCCGTGTACTGCAAAATGCTCGCGATTGTTTAGAGTCTAAGCTTCAGACGTTCAAAATGATTCGATACACAAAAAGAGTAGAGGAGAAACAAAATACGTTAGGTTGGCGGACAATATGTACTATATATGTACAATATGTACAATATGTACAAATATGTACTATATGTAATGTAATGAATGCAATATCATTATATCACTCAACTTCACAACTCACTTCTATAGGACTGATGAAAACAAAATGGCGACCACTCGTACGAGAAAGAGCTTTGACCAGCTTCCACCAGCTTCGACTTTCAATTCGGTTCACACAATGGCTCGTAGTTCGTGACTCATGTTGCCGTATAACTTTACAAGCCAATTCTACAGACGGGAAGTTCAAAAGTTACATCTTATCGTGTTTGGACTCGATGCGGATTACATTTATTCAAAAATTTATATTATAAATTGTTATAAACTGTACACTGGTCGGAACAAATAGAATTGGCGGGACCTCTGGCGGCGGCCATATCGTAACTGTTGGAACGATCCACTCAATGGATAACGTGATATGGAAAATGGGAAATATAAAATGAAGCAAAAGGTAGGTAAATGATGGAATAACTAACTTTAAAGAAATTTTGTTTTTATATACAAACGAACATGAACATTCAAAAACAGTATACAAAGCTCTTATGGTTATACACACATGTCACGTAACGATATCTTGTAAAATCGAAACGTAATTGTACTATTATTTAATGTACGGATACCAACGATTAAATTTTACGCAATCTAAAAATCGTCTTACGAAACGTTTTTTCACATTAATTTCGCATTAATTTGAAAACAATTTAAAAATAATCTTCCTGTCGCAATTCTTATATATTGTAAATTTTTATTTACAAATTAAGTATATCTCTGGTATAAAATTGTTTTGCATGCGATCGCTAAACACGTTTTTATTTATACTATTTTTGAGCAAATACTTCCACTAAAACTTACACCGATTTCATATAAAAATCAAGTACTTGCAAGGCAATCTATGCAAAGTGTATCAAAGTAGGTCTTACATTACTGCACTCAAATTTAAATAAAACATTACAGTCGAGACATAACTAGACGTTCTTAATTTATCATTATTAATTTGATATTTCATTCCAATAGTAATTTAGTATATGGCAACGCATATTTGCATTTTGCAACACATTTATTTTCTCTTTTTACATTCAATGCTGAAATAGTTTTACTTTCTGGAATGTTTCATCGTGTAGACATATAAGTTTTAATGCATAAATAAATTACAGACTTTTGATATGCCGTTTACTTCTCAACACATCTGTCTTTTTAAATAAAATTTTTAAGTCTTTTGCCACAGACTTTCTGAGTCCTAATTATTTAGGATAATTATATACAGGTGTTATCTTTGCAAGGAGGTCCAAGGAGCAATGCAAATATGATTTAGACTCTATATGATACCATATTGATAAAATATAGTTATAGTTGTTCGCTAATACTCTTCCATACTGATAGAATGCTTACTAAGATGTCCTTGGACCTCTGACAAGGTACATCTACAATGCTAGGAAAATGTTGAAATAGTTTTCTAAAATGACAAGCTAACAATAAGAATCTATACAGATTGGTCTACTACCTGTACAGATTGAATTAGTCACATTATAATAGAATAAGTCTTATGTTTGCAATGATATACATACACTTCTTACCTGTAGTTTTACTCAATTAGACACCTATCTAACATTCTATTGCATAATTAATCCACAGTTAATCAATGTATTTGTGAAAACGTATAATGTAATGCACAGCCAAAGACGATTCATTCTAACAACATCTGCATTTTAATTTATGGCACTATGCGTTCGAATTTGATACGAAGGTAATATGTAACATTAAAATGTGAACGATAGTCAGATGCAAGCTAGGGCAGAATTTGGGTTGAAAAGTTCATAGTTAGCACGGTTACGGCGAAGAAAATGTTCAATGTCTAACGAGGAATTATCGTAAACGTAAAGACTACGATAATCTCTCGTCTGGTGACGGAATCGGTTAATACTGTTTGTAGCAGTTCCAAGTAGCAAGTAGCAACGTCGACGCCAAAGAACGGGTAACCGTCGACGTAATACATAATGTATACGTATGTATATCTCTAGTCTCTACTATACACGTTTCCATTGCTTTCGTTTTTTCTTATAGAACTTGGTCTTAGATATTATCACAGTTGCAAGGTCCCCGATAAATTTTCGACCTACTACAATTTTAATTTCGTTCAAACAACTAATTTGGCCTCAGTCTGCAAACTTGGCGCAAAAGTACTAAATATTCAAAACGGAATAAATAATCGACAACATTGATAAAATACTAATCATCGCGTGATGAATTAACAATGCTTACAATGAAAAAACAATATCATTATGTATAATTATACGCATAATTCCCTACGATATGTTTTATAAATTTTCATCACTTTCCTAAAGATCTAAACATCTTCGTACGTATTTCGGTCGAACCAATATTTTCCTTTTGTTAAAACTTATCGACTAGCTTAGCGAAGATTCAACTAATATTGTCCCGAAGAATAAGTCATCGTTTCCCGAATTGGTCACGTAACCAAAAAATAGTTAACTCTCCCCGTAGTCTTCCGTCTAGTCTAGTCATAGACTCAAAGTTATCTTACGGTAACTTTCATTTCCAATTATTTAAAATACCGTCCCGCAATTATTAAAAACGATCGGACAATGTCTCCGCGCGATGACGGCGTAAGGAACGTCGCTGTTCACCCGGACTTCTTCGGATTTACTAAGCTTGTTCCAAACGTGAATGGCCATGGCTCTTTCCAACATCTTCATTGTCGCATTCTTATCCTTCGTCTCGAAGTACATTTTCCAGTTTTTGTAGTGAATCGGATAAAACGCCGACGGAGGGAATACTTTAAAGCCGTGGCAGCGAGCGGTGGTCATATCTCGAGCCTGGTAAAAGCAAGGAAGGACATGTGTGTTCGGGCAATACTTTGACTCTTTCCGTTATCATTGTTTGCACGAAGTTTCGCTTGTACCAGAATAGATAAGGATAAGGGATTTATGGGTGAGTAATATCGTATACGATTTCGTTGTGTGATTCTTAAATACTTGGCAGCAACTATATCGAATATTACACGGTTTGGCTAAAAAGAAACAGAACTTTTGCTCAAAATAATCTCCGTCTGCGTCAATACAGCGTGTAGACCGCGTAATTAACATTTCGAAGGACGTTTGCAGCTCCTGTTTTGGTAATGTGTCCCTTTCATTGGAATTTTCAATTTTGGGAAGAGAAAATAATCGCAGGGAGACAGATCAGGCCAGTAAGGTGAATACTATAAACTGGCTACCAAAACAGGAGCTGCAAAGCTCCTTCGAAACGTTAATTACGCGGTATACACCTATTTTGAGTCTATTTTGAGTAAATTAAACGCGTGTGTAAAAACTTTACTTGTACCTTTTTCTTTCGATAGCAAAAGTTCGGTTTCTTTTTAGACAGATCGTGTATACCGTAAACGGGGTTGCCGTTGCCGACAGATACTTACGTATTTCGTAGAACAAATATTTTGCAGAGTCCTTGTGATCACGCCAGGTCCATTGTTTCCCCAATCGTAACCGCGGAAGTTCGTCTTAAAATCACGAATACAGGCGTCGGCCATGCGACGACCCAGCGACGACATATCGAATCCCATCACGCCAGCGGCAACGTCGTCCCAGTCTTCAGCTCCGGCGAAGTTCGTTAAACGCTCCAGCGATCTGTCGAACATGCGTTTCCTCCCTCGTAAAGATTCTCGTAATGTTGCATCGCTGATAAGCTATCGACGATTTCGTTATAAATCGAGAATCTAACGCGGACCGATTAAACGAACTTGGCGAATACGTTTGGTTAAACTTTGGCGGACCTTTCGCTTTAACTTGATAAAAGAGTTGTTTAAAATTCTTTTTTGTATGAATTTTCTTAGTTCGCATCGAAGAAAAATGTACGAAAATGGAAATTTCTTTTGATTTTTTTTTTGTGTCAAACCAAAATGCATCTTTTCCGTCGATAGGAGGTTTTAATTGCGAGGTGCTCTACAAATGTGAATTTGAATATTTCTCGTTGAACAAATTTCTACAGACTACTCAAACATCTATGAAAATAGGATAAAAAATTCGGTAGAATTAATTATATTTTTCCATCCCCAAAAAAATTCACGAAAAACCGCTTTTTTTAGACCTCCTAATTCTGGATACCCCCTTAAACTTTATTTCGTGGTACTAAAAATTATTCCCCTCTTTTTTATCATTTAGTAATTTTTTATGCCTAGAATTTATAAAACTAAGTTTCAACGTCAGGAATCCAACGGTTTAAAAGTTATTGGTATGTAAAGTTTAGCGCTTTCACCGTATTTGTCAGGCAATTAAAATCCTCCGTGTATAACCCGAACCAACGCCGTTAACTCGAAATACTGCAGTTTTCAAAAATAGGTACAACAATATAAAAGTACAATAAGTCCGCCACCGACGAGAATCTGTTTTACCGACAGGTTATGGCTACAAGGCATTATGGCGTGGAAAAGTCACTTTCGGATTTCTCTCGACGAAATCTACAGGATTATGTAAACAAAAACACTTGAGAAGTTTAAAAGTCCGTCAAGCCCGTGAGAATAAAGTGCAGCGTAAAAATGTTAGGTCCCGCCAAAGTAAAGTTTAACCAAACTCGGAGATGGAGGTTACTGTAATCCACTCACGTTGTAACAATGACATCGAGATCGAGATATATCCCTCCGTATTTCCAAAGGGTAAGATATCTGAGCATGTCCGACATGTGACTCCTTGGCCATCGACTCGTTCGCAGCATGCCGCTCTTGTACCACAATTCCAATGGTGTATTTTTTACGTACTCCTCGGGGTAAATATGCTTGATCTTAATGTTCGGATAAGTCTGTAAAAGATCGAAGATATCTCTCGACTGATTGGAGGTTCTCGCGGCGGATAGAAAGAATAGATACACTTTCATGTTTGGATTCATCTTGGCTGCGGATTCAACGGCGCACGCCTGGCGTGCGTTCAGAATCAGGCTGTCTTCGTTGAAGCAGGATGTCTCGTGGAAAAAAATATTTCTGTCGTTCCTCGGCTCTTCGGCGTCTGAAACAAAATAACAAACCACCTTTGTAGAATATATATTTGCACGCGCTTAGAATATTTCTTTGGACTTTTTACATACATACATGCTTAACAAGTTAGGTATATTCGTTTAAAGTTTGGCATACTTGTTAAATTCTATTAAATAAAAACACGGTCACGCGATGCCAAGGAAATCGTAATCTCCTTCACGTACGTGTGTATGATGTATCCATATACATGCGTGTTTCGTATCTGTTAATCTTATCTTCTTTTCGCGCACAAGTATGACTAACCTAAAAGAACGTGCAAGTGTATCGTAGTACGAATAAATAAATTACAGCATTGTGTTAATAAATTTTTGTTTTCTTCTTTTTTTTATTATTATTTTTATTTAAAGACAAAAAGGCGTGCGAATAATATCGTATTCGCGATAAAGAGATCACTTGGACTCGGTTAAAATCATTGAGCTCTATCCTAACTGGAGTGTGAACTCCTGTAGGAAGAAGTAGAGACGACGGAGGTCCGAGAGAAATGCTAAATGGGTGGTTCCCCGGTATTGTCCTATAGCAAATTTATTTGTAGAGGGGAAACAAACGTACGCCGTAACATAACCTACCTGAGCATCGCTGAGCATTGTCGAGTGAGTTACTTTCAGATTCTTTTTCGCATAAAATTGGATAAATATTAGGTCGTCCTAAAAGTTCGTGCCATTTATACTTCTATTTCTCAAATTAATATTTGTGTAACATACTCTTAAGTGTCGCAAGAAAAGATAATCTGTCTCATTTCACAATAGTTTCTCACCTCTCTCCTATAGTCATTATACCGTTGCTAGAAAATTTCTGTGGTTTTTTTATTAAATTTCGACACAGTCTTCGGCACGAACTTATGGGACGACATGATACAATATAAACTGAATTGTGACAAATAATAAAATTTAGCTCTATACCAAATTGTATATATTTGTATGATCTAAATTATGGTATGTAAATTATGTATACTATTTCATCATTATGTCATTGTTATTAATGTGTCTATCGTTTTATATATAAATAAAAAGGAAATAAATTTCCTGATCTGTAAATAATTCCTAGAGTGCCGCGAAATTCAAACAAAGAGAAGTCGTGTTTTTCCTCCACACGTAAATTTGAGATAGGATAGTACCACCGGAACCACTCATCTTCCATCTCTCTCGGACCGGCTTCTCTCTCGCAGTTCACACTCCAGTTAGGATAGAGGTCAATGGTTAAAATTGACCGCGAAACGTACCTGATCCCGAATAATAATTCGGAAGAAAGTTCGCTGCGTTATTTTCATAGTAACACGTGACATCGTTGGGATCGCCGAGGTCCACGAGAAGCGACACGCGTTGAATGAAATCGCCATCCGTCGAAATCACAATAACGAACAGTACGATAGCACAAACGACGCACAGAATCAGTCTTCTCTTCATTTTACGTGAACGGGTTTGAGGCATTCGAACGGAGGAAGCTTCGCTGGCAGGACGTCTGGTACGATGTCTCCTACCGATCTTCTAACCGAGGACGTAACGCGCGCCTGATCGGTATACGTAGAAAAAGAAATACACGAAAATAAACAATCGAAGGCAACGCGTGCACGCGTGCAGGCACTACGCGACGAATACCAGGTCTGTTTCCGAATGAAGTCACGGATAGAGCTTATCGTACGAACTACCCTTTCCACTCATCGATCCGGGCGATGCGATTATCAACGTAAACCAATAACGCATATCGTCACAAACTCTACATTTCCGACTGTTGCGTATTAGATAACAGTGTACCAACTTTTTTTAAAACTGTGATATTTCCGTGTAAATCGCCGTTCCATTATTATAATTACTTTTTTGAATTCCACTAGCGCGGCGCGATGACGCGATACTCAGGCGCACGCATGCATACATCCATGCATGCATAAATTATGCCGCGTGTCATACATAATAATGAAATTACGAAACGCGTAAACAAAGCTAGACTCGTAAGGATGCGCGTTGATTCGTACAAAGGACAGGCCGCACCGTGTCCGTCGGTCGCATAGCGTCGTCAAACCGAAAGGGTTGATTATTTATTAGCTTTAACAGAGCCACGCCACGCCACCCTACGCGCAACTACAGAGCGTCGAAAACACGCGAATGCAATTGTTTCCTTTTTCCACGAGTACTACCTAAGCGAGTTCGATAAGGTCGTCGCGATGCGTTCGTCGTCGACATGCGACATCGTCCAACGGTCGTAGCGACGATGTTTCGTTAGCAGGTGCATTCTTGTTCGACGTTTATATGGGAAAAGATTAGCTACCTCGTAAACACCGTTCTATTGGACTATAATAACAGTCGAGAACCTTGAGCCGCGGGATTTAATCGTTATCAATACGTTTTTTTCACGATCTAATGCGTGTTCCCGATAAAACGTTTCCCTTCGTTCGCACTCCGCAATTCCACGGAAATGCAACGATCGATGTCTGTCTGCGCCCTAGACGTCGTCGCCGCCACGTACCGAAATATTCTCCGTGGAAATCCGACCAACGATCGTTCGCGATCGAATGTTTTATCGAAACAATGTCGACCGACACTTTTCTCTTTGTCATTCGAACAAACGCAACGGTACAAACGGTACCGCCCGGCGCTGCCAAACCACCGACTACGCGCTTCTTCTTCTGTTTCTGCTCGCGTTGCGGGTATGTCGTTGCTAATGGCCGATGAACAGTCGACAGGCGCATGCGTTGGTAAATCTGTCCTATAAACATAAATATTTCGTTTCTTTCTTTTTTTTTCAACCATTTATAGTGGGATCGAACCACTTGACGGCTTTCGTTGAATTTGTTGTTTGCAACCAACCACTAAGCACGATATTTTCGAAGATCTCATATTTGAGGATCTCATATGCATGCATATGCATGCATACATATATGTATATATATATATGACAAAATAAATGCTTTCTCACGTAGTAAGAACGTTAAATCGATACAAATAAAATTCCTTTAATATTACACAATTGTTATTTACAGTAATAAATATTTTACAAATAGTTTTTACACATATTATATACAAAAATGCTCTTAAACCACTAACATGGATGTTATCGATGTTCGTAAGTTCGAGAATTAGGTAGTTTATCTAATACCGTCATAGAAAACCGGTATACGTTCGGTAGTGCAACGATTACGTGTTGGTGGATAATCGGACATAGTTCGGGAAAGAATACCTATATCCTTATCTCATGCAATTATTATGCGTATACATGAAGATGACGATCTCACGCATGTAAGAGGAAATATTGTGTATTATATGAAATCATATGAAATCTACCTACATACCTATTAGGTTGTCCTAAATGTTTCTTTCGTAATTTGTACTGAATTATTTTGTGTGACAGTATTTATATAGATAGACAATCTAATTTCTTATTGAATATTGTGTAATGTATTGTGTAAAAATATTGTGCGCGTATTACTTATTAATAAAACGAAAGAAACTTTTTGGACAACCTAATACATACCTACATACAATTTCTAACCCGCAACTTTTACGAGGATAATACAATATGTATCGAGTATGTAATTATAAAAGCTGATGCATCGTACGTTACAGCCGTCCAGGTTCCTAGAAACCTGAATTACAATCAATTCACCGTACCAATTAATGTAGGTATCAGAAGAAAAATCTACAATTTCTGATCGATTCATGATATTACGATACCTCAGTTGTACATGGACCGATTTGATTGATTTTGGTTTTATTCGAAAGCTTACGTACGATTTACATAAGAAAAATGCCTTTAAATTTAGACAATATTGCAGGTGTGATGAGATATTAATGAAAGAAGTTTCAGGTTAGGTTGGAATCGCAGTTTTACGAGTAAAAGATACGTGGTAGCGTCAGCGCCAGTGCAGTGTACAGGGTGGCGGAAATTTGTACTTGGCTATCGTTCCATTAGCCGATATGGTAAATTTGTTGCAATTAAGATTTGTAAGAGCTTACCTTGGATACTTTTGCGTCATAGGGGGGCGGATGCACGCAACACACCCATAGGAATTGATCAGGGCCGGCGTGACCTTTTGCGGGGCCCGAATTCACATTCAAATCCTACATTTAAATTTTACAACGAGGAATTATCTATTTACAAATGCTATATATTTTTTATAAGATGTCTTGCATCTCAGTAAAAATTGCATCCATTTGTTAATGGTATCATCAGTCTGTAAAAAGTTAATCAAAATCGGAAGATGTTACATTAGGTAGATGTTACAGGTAGGTAGATGTTACAGATGTACATTACGACATTTCTAATTGTATAGAAACAACATTTAAGCTGATAGAGGCATTCTCACGATTGTTAGTCTGGCAGTCAACGTATTGAGTAATTTTCGTAGATCGTGGGGCCTTTTAAGGGTGCGCAGGAGCCAGAGCCAAACTTCGTGTTGACTCCAGCGACAGTTGCGGAAAAAGTAGGAAATGAGATAGCAACGAAATGAAGATAACAAACGTACTTTTATTGTTTATAAAGTTTTAAGGCCGAAATTGCAAAATCAGGCCTTGGAGTCGCATCCGTCAAAGTGTAACGAATATATTAAAACCAGAATTATTAGAAAATATCGCTTCTTTGCTTCAATATCCGAGAAAAAAAAATCATGCTAGCCTAATCGCCCTGTCCTCGTCTCTCCTGCAATTGCTGTATCGGCCTCTCTGTCCTTGTCCCGGAGTTTCCTACTTTTTCCGCAACTGTCGCTGAATGTCAACTCGAAGTTTGACTCTGGCTTCGGCGCACCCCTGAACCTGCCTTGCGCCGACCCTGGAATAGATGTACGAGCTGCGGTGACCGCGTACGTAGCCGTATCGACCGTTTCTGTTTTGCACGTTCGTGCGTCGATAAAACAGAATCGGAACGGTGCGTTGGACGCAGACATCGTTGGTTCAGGATTCGTCTACGAGAGCGGAGGGCGCTCGCTTCGCGAAACGTCGAGAGTTGGTCAGTTGATCGGTACGGTGTATGGTGTATTATACTATACGGTGTACGGTACACAGTGAAAATGGCGCCGCTCGAGTGAAGGTGGGTGATCCTGTGCGTGCGTGCGTGGGCTCGGAAAGTGCGAGTTTTCGGAAATGTGGCAAGATCTGGACGATTTGGGAGGCGCGGGAGTAAATTCTGGTGGCCACCAGATCGACCAGTTCGGCGCAACGGGTAAGAAAATTCACGAGACTCCCGATATGTTTGGTGCAGCGTACGACAACCTGGAAAAAGTTTGGGTTTTCCCTGTCAGAGCGCACGCGTTCTTTCTCTTCTTCTATTCTACACGATACACACCGTAAACAAAACGAAATCACCTCTCTCGCGACGGAAACCGACGATCTCTTCGACATCGCTCGTTCTTAGTTTCTCCATCCCATTGCGTATAGAACGTTTTCGGCCCGACGCTTGGAATAATCTTCCGAACGTTCATCCCCATCTGTCAACAAGAAACGCAGCTTCCCGCAGCGTCGAAAACAAATCGAACGAGATTTAGGGACGGTTCGATGTTTTCTTCGAGATTGAACGGTTCTAGATTACCTAGAATCGATATCGCAATATATACGATATAGATATAGAAAAATAATTCTCCCAACGCAGCTCGATGCGCCGGATTATCTCGACTGTTTACAATCTGTACGTCGTAAGAAAAAAATATTTCACGATCGTCCCGTCACGCGAAACGTTGCGTTTCCTCGATGTACTCGGTTAACTTCCGTTCGAAACGCGGTAGTACTGTTATTTTCATCTGGAATTATTCGTAACGATAACTAACAGCGTCACGAGTTTCGATTTAAACCCATCGAGCACTGGAACGTAACGATCGGCGGAGCATGGCTGTCGACCCCGTTACAATTCTCGCGCGCAACAGTTTCTAATTGTTCCTCTTGTGCGCGTAACCTAACCTAATCCGAGGAGCTGACTTTCCGCTGGTCGCGCGAAAGGAAGAGGTTACCGTACCCGTTCGAATTACATAACCTCGCGTAGAGGTCGAGCCTGGCCGAGCCCGGGGATGATCATACGGTACTACCGTCATGACGCGACGTACCGCAGCGCAGCGCAGGTGGCAGAACGCGTTATGAATGGCGTATGAAACGCGGCGTACACACCGCACGCACACGATCGCTCTCGTTAAGGGCGATTCAGACTATACGACACGGACCGTCACGTTCCGGCAACGACACGTACCGTAATAAATAAAGTATTACAAATTACACTAAAAAAATGTATTCTGTTATATTTATTCCTCTTATGTTTATATCTTTTTTATTTATTTGTTTTACTACTTGTCAATATTTTCAAAATGAATAAGGATCGTTATTTGATAAAAGCTTTTTTTACATAAAAGTTTGTATATATAAAACTATGTAATTGGATACTGTACCCGTATAATTCGATGTATGCGTACCTGGATATCCGTGTATTTTAATACCCGTTCAAAACTGTGATCTCTAGTTTTAATGTTTTGTCGTGTCGGTGCCGATACGTGTCGTATAGTCTGAATCGATCTTTACTCGACGATCTGCCTCCCCCCCTCCCCCCATTTTCGTGTTTACGCTCGGCACCGAGCAAATTAGAGGGATCTGTCCAAATGCACATACGCATCTGTCTACGTACCTACTTACAACGCTATTTTTTTTTCAAGTATACGTTACAATGGCAAATCGTAATCTTTAGTTAATTAGAACTATACCGTATCCGTAACCAAACCTCTTATCGGTGGTAAACATGTAATCGCTGTTTATGTGAAACATTACGCTACGGATGCGTCGATATCCGTCCTGTAATCTGCTAATCGCTCCAAGCTTTTTATACAAAGATATGTAACGAAACTCGGCTGTTTTCCATTCGTTCCTCTACAAAGTTTAATCCCATTTGCGTTTATTCGATGGGTCCACGCGACCCCAGCCTTAATTCGAAACACTATTTTTAGATCTTTGGTTAAATTGTTCCTAATAAGCAAGCCCCCTTCCTCGATTCGACCGACGCCGACGCCGACGCAACGAGACGCGTTGCGATGATGCACCATTGTTACCAAACGGTCCGTCGGTTCGGGTCGATTCCAACCAAAAAGTACATCGTTCGATAGAGTTCGCAATTAATAATCATTTATGGGCGAAAACGGGACGATAAAAATTGTATAATAATGTATAACATAACAACGATACGTTTACGTTTATCGAGATTTTCTTTCCAAAGATTAAAAATTGGAAATAAAATTAAAGAACAATTTCAGAATTAAATATTAGAAAATTGACGGTCGGTTCCCATCCGAGACAATTAATAATTACTCAATTCACGGTGCTTCGATTTCGAGGTCGTGCAATTATAGATCCGTGTAATTATTTGCTTACGCACAGAG